GCCTTCAGCACAGGTCTGATATGGCCCCATTTAGGGAGGCCCATCAGCAACCTGGCCGCCGCATTCTGCACCAGCTGCAGCTTCCGGATCAACGACAAAGGCAGCCCCATGTAGAGAGCGTTACAGTAATCCAGCCTTGAGGTGACCGTCGCATGGATCACTGTAGCTAAGTCGTCGCGGCTGAGGAAGGGGGCCAGCTGCCGGGCCTGAAGCCTTGAGGTGACCGTCGCATGGATCACTGTAGCCAGGTCATCGCGGTCGAGGAAGGGGGCCAACTGCCGAACCTGCCTCAGATGGTAAAATGCAGACCTGGCAGTGGCTGCTACCTGGGCCTCCATAGTTAAGGAGGAATCCAGGAGCACTCCCAAACTCCTAACCTCCGACGCTGGCCCCAAAGGCAGCCCATCGAAGGTCGGGAGAGGGAGCCCCAGCCCCAAACCGTTCCGACTCAGGCCCAGGACCTCTGTCTTCGCTGGGTTTAGTTTCAGCCGGCTCAGCCTGAGCCACCTAGCCACAGCCTGTAATCCCTGGTTCAAATCTTCTGGGTCGGAGCCCAACCGGCCACCCAACATCAGATAGAGCTGGGTGTCATCTGCATACTGATGACAACCCAGCCCATACCTCCTGGCATTCTGGGTGAGAGGGCGCATATAGATGTTAAAAAGCATCAGGGAAAGCACTGCCCCCTGAGGCACACCACATTCAAGTCGGTGCCTCCGGGACTGTTGTTCCCCTATTACCACTCTCTGTCCCGACCTTGGAGGAAAGAGGCAAGCCATTGAAGGGCGAGCCCCTGTATCCCCACGTCGGCGAGGCGGTGGATCAGCAACTGGTGGTCGACCGTATCGAACGCGGCCGACAGATCTAACAACACCAGTGCCGCCACACCACCTCGGTCCAGATGCCTCCGGAGGTCGTCCGTAAGGGCAACCAGCGCCGTCTCTGTCCCATGGCCAGGGCGAAAGCCGGACTGGAGTGGATCCAGGACAGAAGTGTCATCCAGAAAGCTCTGCAGCTGTGTCGCCACCGCCCTCTCAATCAACTTGCCCAAATAGGGCAAATTAGACACCGGCCGATAGTTGGCCAATTCGGCCGGGTCTAAAGTTGGTTTTTTCAGGAGAGGGCAGACCATCGCCTCCTTAAGTGCCTCCGGGAACCGTCCCTCCATAGATATTAAATAGCATTGAGGAAAGTACCGCCCCTTTTGGCACTCCACACTCCAGTGGGTGCCTTCGGAATAGCTGCTCCCCTAGTGCCACCCTTTGTCCCCGACCTTGGAGGAAGGAGGCTAGCCATTGCAAGGCAAACACCTGGATTCCAGTGTCAGCAAGGCAATGGATCAGTAGCTGATGGTCGACCATGTTGAACACTGCAAACAGGTCCAACAGCAACAGCATTGCTGATCCGCCCCGATCCAAATGCCTCCAGAGGTCATTTGTGAGGACGACCAGTGCCATCTCTGTCCTGTGGCCTGGGTGAAAACTGGACTAGAAGAGATCTAAAATGGAAGCGTCATCCAAAAAGCTCTGTAACTGGATTGCCACAGCCCAAATAGGGCAAGTTGGAGACCGGCCGGTCATCTGCCTATTCAGCCAGGTCCAAGGGTGGTTTTTTCAGGACAAAATGGACCACCGCTTCCTTGAGTGCCCCAGGGAACAGTCCTTCCGAGAGGGACATTAATAATCTCCCTTATGGCACCTCAAAACCCATCATGGCCAGCTTTAATTAGCCATGAAGGGCACAGGTCAAGGCAGTATGTGATGGGGGAGTACAGTTAGGAGCAATTTGTTGACTTCCTCTAGGCAGAGCAGATTGAAATAATCCAAAACCTGACCAGAAGACGTGCATGGAGCCTTGAGTTCACTCACTGTTTCAACTGTGGTCGGGAGGTCGTGGCAGAGCGACAGGACTTTATCTGCGAAATAGCTCCCAAAGGCCTCACAGCCAATGTCCAGTTCCCTAACATTTGGTCTGCCTTGTGGCAGAGCAGTCATTGACCAAATCGTTCTAAACAATTGGGCTGGGTGTGAGCTTGCAGACACAATTGTGGCTGCATAGTACTCTCTCTTCGCAGTCTTTCAGTTGGAAAAAAGTTTCCTGCACATTGTTTATTTAAAGTTTCCTGCACATTGTTTATTATTACCTCAAATGTTCCTGGGCTGAGGCAGTGCTTACTAAAGCAAAATGTCAGAAGGAAAGAGACCAACATCCTAGCTCAAATGAAGGTAGCTGGCAGGGCCAGACTTAGTGAGTCCGGGACCCAGGCAAAAGTCCAGGATGGAGACCCAGAGTCGTTGCCAGCAACCCCACTGTGATCCCCCATTAGGGCCAAGCAAGGGGTGGGCCTTGCCCCGTGCAACACAGACACAAACCAGTGTTAGCAGCCAGCTGACCAAGCCCTGAATTGGGTGAGTGCAAATTGTCATTGCCACAAGAGGGCAGCCCAAGACACAAAAGGGGCCATTGCATAGGGTCGCCAACCTCCAGGTGGTGGCTGGAGACCTTCCTAGGATTACAGCTGACCTCCAGGTGGCAGAGAGCAGCTCCCCTGCTTTGGAGCGTGGGTTCTTTTGCATTAGCCCCTCCCCTTCTCAAACCTCGCCTTCCCAACATCTCCAAGAATTTTCCAACCCGGAGTTGCCACTGGCAGCTGGAGCCTGGCCAGTCAGATGGGCCCAGTACAGGACGGTTGCCTTTCTTCCCATCATGCCCTGAGTGCTGCCATCTTTCCCTTCTTCATCGTCATCCCACACGACTTGAGAAGAGAGGGTAGGATCAAATAGCCTTTGACAGGGCAGCCACAAGTGACACATTTATTTATTTATTTATTTATTGGATTTATATCCCGCCCTCCCTGCAAGCGGGCTCAGGGCGGCTCACAATTAGTGGCACCATGTGCCAAGATAAAACAATTAAAAACAAGATAAAACAGTTATACAATTAACTTAGATACAGTTGTTACCAAAAGGTGCTCGTAGTGATATTCGTTCTTCATTCAGTTAGAGATGGCGTGCAAACAAAAGTAATGCTAGGGCCCCGATTTAACGATATTTCGGCCTCCCGCAATGCTGTATCTCAGTCTCCTGAAGGGAGACTTGTTGAGATGGCACTCTTTATTATTGTTGAAATACATACTCTTGTCAATATAACCACTTGTTCTGTATTATACTGTTTTACAGGTCTCTTTTGTAGCAGGAACTCCTTTGCGCACTATGCGACACACCCCCAATGCAGCCAATCCCTCAAGAGCTCACAGTAGCCCCTGTAAGAAGAGCCCCTGTAAGCTCTTGGAGGACTGGCCACACCAGGGGTGTGTCGCCCAATATGCAAAGGAGTTCCTGCTACAATTCCCAGGGTTCTCTCCTCATATTGTATTGGCCTGCCTCCGTGTAGCAACCCTTGACTTCCTTGGAGGTCTCCCATCCAAGTACCAACCAGGGCCGACCCTGCTTAGCTTCTGGGCCTGACAGAGACTGATCCTGAGACCACAGAACGGGAAGCGACGATTTACTCACATTTACCTATGCACCTCAGCTGAGCTGCAGGTGGGCACCATGGGGCTACATTGGAAACCAAGGCCACAAACAGCTCCACTGGTTGACAGCCAGTATGATCTAATAGAAAGATAGTACTCTGGATTCAGATCCCATCTCGGGCACTAAATGGTTTGCCTGGTCACACTTCACTAGCCTCGGTAGCCTCTTTATTTGTTAAGTCTTATTTAAATTCGTGATGAAAATCATCACCATGGAAATTAAAAATGTAGAAGTCACCTGTAAAGAAGATGTAATCAAACTTGTTCTCCAGTAATCTGGCAGTTTGTTCATGGCCACCTGTCACCACAGCAAAGGTATCCTGTGAAATAAGAGAGAAGCGTCACCTGTCGTCACTCCCAATCAGCAATTCACACACCGGCCCAGTTTCTGCCCCTCAGGCAGATTCCTCTTGCTTATTTGGAAGAAGAATGTATCTTTCCCACAAATGCACACGACTGAGCCCCATGAAAAGCCACTCTCAATGGTGGATTTAAGCAGGCAAGCGGGGGGGGGGGGAAGGAGGGGGGTGTTTAACCCATTGCACGCCCACATTTTGGCTTTTGCTTCAGATCCTTCACCAGGCGGCCGTCTCCCTCCTGGGATCCTACAGAAGAGGCCGCAATGGCTAGTGGACAGTTTGGAGCTGAGTCATAACAGCTATGAAAAAGTTTTAGCACTTCTCCCCCCCCCCCAGTCCCCACTCCTTTCCCACTTTAGATTTCTTTTTCAGCAATCAAGTTTTCATTTTAAAAAATGGCGTTGGTGTCGTCTGCCCCTTAAATCACCACAGGATTTTTAGAGGAAATAGAATACAGTGACGTTATCTCAAGGAAAAGAAAAGTGCATCATCCTACAGAGATCTCTTCCTCTCAAACACAAGTCCACAAGTCCTGGTGTCATACACATAAGACTGTATCTCCCCCCCCCCCCCAAGAACAGAATCTATCCAGAGTAGGCATGCTTCTATGTTTATGCCTTGTGTCCCACAACAATGCAAAATAAATAACTTGCAATGAGTAATATTGTCTGTACACCCATTGCAACTGTGACCCTTTCCACAGTAGAGAAATTTGTACACTGACATCTTAAAAAACTGTATGTTATGTTAAATTTTCCACAGTAGATTTTTTTTCTTACCAGGCGCAAACCTGAAGTTTTCTCCTTCTTACCCCGTGTTTTTGGAACTTTCTAAAACGGGATTCTGAGAACGTGTGGTAAGAAGGAGAAAATTTTGGATTTGCACCTGTGAGGAAAAATGTACTGCGGAAAATTTCACATAATGTGCAGTTTTTAAAACGTCAGTGTGGGGGATTTCACTACTGTGGAAATGGTCTGTGAGACAATCTCCCCCAATAATATCCTACTGAGAGATGAGATCTAAGCTGAATATTTTATGTAGTATCACACCAGAGAACTGGGTCATGTATGTGAATGAGAATTCTGTTTTCATCAGGAAATAAGGGAGAATTGGGTCTAAGAAACTCACTGGGTCAAGGTAGGTAGGCAGTACTTCAGCCAGGAGCTTTTCACTGCAGCTGCTTTGCTCTGAAGGTTTCACAATCACGCAGTTCCCTGATGGAGAAAAGAGCACATGACTGTGGTGGCAACCTGACTGTGGTAGCAACCATCACACAGTTGGATCCTGCCAGCAGGAGCCCCTGTGAAGAGACCAGCTAAACAAAGGGTCCATGGGTCAGGGCTGTGGGGATATTCTACTGTGGGGAACTGAAGAAGAAGAAGAAGAGATTGGATTTATACCCCCCGCCCTTCACTACCCAAAGGTGTCTCAGAGCGGCTTACAGACTCCTTTCCCTTCCCCTCCCCACAACAGACACCCTGTGAGGTGGGAGGGCTGAGAGAGCTCTTGACAGGGGTCATTTCGTAGAAAAAGAGCTAGGGGGACTCATTAGCATAACTCATTAGCATATGCCACACCCCCTGACATCACCGGAAGTGTGTCATAAGGCCACACACCCCGCCCCCAACGGTTCTGGCCGCCGCCCTTGCAGCTCCACTGCCGAGCCCCACGAGGGGCCCGGCGGTTGACCTGCAAGGCCGGCGGGAGTGCAAGGAAGCCCCACGAAGGCCCTCCCTGGCCCCAGGCAGGCAGGGGTGGGGAGAGGCAGGGAGGAAGCAACTTACCCTCCCTCTTCTCCTGCCTCCTCCTGGCTGAATGAGGGCCGGAAGCGGGGCAGCCGGAACCACGGCTTGCCCAAGGTCATCCAGCCAGGTGTGAGTGGAGGAGTGTGGAATCAAACCCGGTTCTCCCAGATTAGAGTCCGCCTGCACTTCACCACGACACCAAACAGTTTTCAGAGAGCTTCTCACTCACCAGCTGCAATGGCCCCCACCAGAGGGATCAAGGTGAGGTGAAAGGGGAAATTAAAGGGTGAAACGATGAGCACCACGCCATAGGGGTCCTTGCGGATGATGGCAGACTCAAACAGGGTGGCCTACAAGGAAGTGAAGACAAGAAAAGTCCATGAAGCAAGTGAAATAGAATAAAGAAAGTTGTCAACATGAAAGATGTTGTTTGGCCTCAGTGTTCAGCCTGTTGGTGGAGTGCTTTTCACATTCATCTTTATTTTATAATGTCCAAAGATTACTGGAGATGAAAAGATGTTACACAGCATGATTATTCCACTTCCAGACCTTTATATTTTTTATATTGTTTGCTGAAATAATTTAGTGCCTTGTTCAAGTGTCAACTTGAACTATGTACTTCAGACAGATGTGAAGGGAAAAGTACATCATTGTAGTGTATCCAGCCCTGACAGGGCCGGGCATGTCCAGACTTGTCCAGGGACAAAACCTTAAGCTTCACATCTAAAGACAATGGGCCAGAAGGATCCTAGCCGGCCCTATCAGAGGCTAGGCCCCAAACCGTGAGGCCAATAGGTCTCTCAGTTACTGTAAATAGCCTATCGGGAAGTGGGGTGTGTGTTTTGGTGGTGGGTTCTGAGGGAATATAAACCGGCCTGCGTCTTGTTCCGGACTAATAAAAGGTATGCTTAGCTGAATCACTCTCCGTATGCATACTTTTCAATCATTTAATCAAGATATGCATGTGAAAAGCTTAAGGATGTTTTCATGCATAACACTGATGCAGCAATCCTAAGGACACTTTCCTAGGAATAAGCTCCATTGAATGTCCATTGGGACATAATTCTGAGTAGATCTACTTAGGATTCCTCCTAAAGTATTTCAGAACTTCTCATCTGTGTGCATTTGTGAATGCTGTTAAAGCATGAAACAAGCCACCATTAGGCTTTGTGTTTAACCATTATGTTTTTTTTCAATATATTGGACTCTTTCAATATAATGTGATAAAATGGGGCAAGAGTACACAGTAGAAACAGGTTTATGGAGGCTGCAGAAATTATCTCAGCCTGTTTCGCCTCTGGACCTTCCACCCAGACAAGCACAGAAGCACCTTCTCTCCCACACACATTTTCACCCCTCTCAGCTTGTTCTTCTCACCAGATTCTTGTTCACACACTCATCTGCCATCCAGTCATGCAGGCAGTTGAGTGCATTGTTCACTTCGTTCATAACAAGAGAAACTTCAGCAATTTCTCCTTCAAAAGCAGACTGTTGGGAGAACAAAAGGGTCTTAGTTTTAGCTGCACCAGGCTTACAAACCACATAACGAGCAACTGCTTCTGGTTCGACAAGAAATTTTCAGCCAGAACCTCTGGCTGCATCACCACACTCACCCTGCGCATGTCTGCGTTCACGGCATGCAGGATTTCACACCTCTTCTCCTCCAGAAAGCAGGCCAGTGCCTCCAGCTGTGTCCTCCGATAGGGCATGGACCGTGTCTTTCCTGTTAGCCAGGTGGCACGCAGGCAGTCCACGAGGGCAGTGTAAGGGTTTGAGCTGGAGACAAAGCAGGTCATCAAAGGATTTCTAAGGATCATCTAGATTTTTTTCAATACTTGTTCTTATAGGACAGGATGCCAACACATTCAGCTGATAATAGCTCACAATGCTGCCTCTCATTTCCTTCATAAAATAACAATGCAGCAATGTATACACAAATGTACTGTTATGCAGGTTACCCCAACCACTGGGGATGTGGAATGGTACAGTTCTTGTCAGATCTCAGAAGCTAAGCAGGATTGGTACTTGGATGGAAGACCACTGAGGGAGTCTCAACAGAAGTCCAATGGCAAACCAATTCTGCTTCTCACTTGCCTGGAAATCCCCTTGCTGGGGTCACTGTAAGTTCATGGTGACTTGTCGGCACTTACATTCATATGTATCCGCCCACAGTGAAGTGTGGACAACTAAAGCATACTCTCAACTACTAGGGGAGTCAGTGATAAACCTTTGTCGGAATTAAAGACATACAAAGAAACTTCCAAGCGAACATGCCCTCTCTGCTTCTTGGGCCTGGGTCAAGAAGACATTGGCTTATGCAAGGTAGCAGAGATCAGAGGTGGTAAAATGGACTGTACCACTTCAGACTGTATAAGGTGGATAACAACTCTAAATATTTCTTCACATAAAACACAACCATTAAAATGAGCTGAAGTGGCGCATTCCATTCTACCACCTAACGTTCTGTCATTGCCATCTCACTGTCCTGTGCATGTAAACCAGGCCACAGGGGTGCATTTTTTGTGGCTGTCAAAGGAAGAGAAGAAGAAGAAGAGATTGGATTTATACCCCGCCCTTCACTTGGAGTCTCAGAGCGGCTTACAAACTCCTTTCCCTTCCCCTCCCCACAACAGACACCCTGTGAGGTGGGTGGGGCTGAGAGAGCTCTTGACAGAAACTGCTCTTTTTCAAGGACAGCTGTGCCAGAGCTTGTGACTGACCCAAGGTCACATCAGCAGGTGTGTGGTAAGAAATATTGAAAGATGGAAGTGTTTGGGTTTAAAATGAACAAAATAGCTTATGAAATCTACATATGTATATCTGCCTCTGCTCTTGCTAGCAAAACTGGCTTGACCTTTTCTTTCACTGATGATGTAACACACTCAAATTGTCAGGAAATTCCCAGGGAAGCTCCACAGATGTGAAACTTGCCAATAACCCCAATTTCCCAGGCCATAAAATATATGACCATTTGGGAAATTGGCAGACTCCAATCCACCCTGCTTTCATCTCTCTGATAAACATCAAAACACAGTTTATTTCCCTGATTGGGGAACACCTGGAAGAAACAATGACACTGTATTGATCCTTTTGGAATGTGAACTCTTGTTGTGTGCAACCAAGGAAGGAAAACAAAATTTCCTGTAAAACAGTCTCAACTTCTAAATGTTAATTTACACCTGTAATCCAGTTATTAAGGGATCCCTTTGATCTCTGGTATAAATATGGGGTGGTTTTACAACAGAACTTAGCTGACTCCAAAGGAGACAGCCAGAGAGAGAGGCCTCTCGACGCGCTTGCATGGGGTGGGAAAAACTTTGCTTTGCATGTTTATTCTCCTGTGTGTATTATATCAAATGTTTAGGAATTAGAACTCTGAATGTTTTGCTATAATAAAGATTAGTTTATTTTAGTGATTTCCAAGCTTGCACATCTGTCTTTGGTACGGGGCGACACTCAGGAGACACACATGAACTGAGGGGGGAGTGTGGGTGACATGGGTAAGCACGCTTTCACAGACAATGTGCAGACACACACCCACACCTCCAAAAATCTCACAACAAATGGTGCCGTGACACTCAACGGATCTCCTCCGCCCCGAGAGAAAGAAGCTTGGTCTTGTGAGTATGAAGCTTGGTCTTGTGAGTATGGATTTCTTTTATCTATCCTTTGTTCATGGAATTCCCAGGGGAGCCAGGTGTGTGGCCCTGGAAGAGCTAGAGAGAGAGCTGGTGGAATTGAGAATTAGCATGCTGTAGAGGCTCAGGAACATGGAGGGGAGGGACTGAGCTCACCTCCTGCCTGCTTACAGGAATTAGAGGCAGTTGCCAACCTCCACCCTGACATTCCGGGCGTACCTCTCCCCACCCCATCCCAGACTTTTTTGTTTATTCCCTGATGGATCTTCCCGGCTATATCATCATGAATTAATGGGGGGGGGGAGACCCGGAGTCAGCTGCGCTCCCTTTACATCTGAGCACTCGAGCAGCAGAACTTTAGACTGCATTGACATCTCTATTTTCTCCTGCTCTGCTTTGGAAAAATTTGGATCCACCAAGGTTCCTAACTGTGGCAGAAACACCAGCCGCTTATGTTTGGCATGACTGCTCGCTGCCAAGCCACAGCCGGTGGAGCGTGTTGTCCTTCATTGTGAATTTTTTTTTTTTTGGAAATATGCAAGTCAATCACACAGCTAAATCTGCCATTTGTAATGAATCAGGGTTACAAATGGGGGGTGCAGGTAAATCTGGGATCTTAGAAAGTAAACAACCTCTGGGTGTGCACAGGTGCCACTTTCCCAGCCATGGCCGCCCCTCCCAGGTGAGATCTTTGCGAGACTGGTAGCACTGTGTAAAATTGCCCACGCAGGCCACTTCGTGCCCTGCCTGGGAATGGGGGGGGGGGGTAGTGACCCAAGTCTTAAAACACTGGTATGCCCCAGAAATTCAATCTAGAAGCCTCAGGGGAGACCCAGATTTGGCCACACCTGCCGAAACCACAAAGAAAACAAAGTGCCTACCCTTGGTTGTTCTTGGAGCATTCCAACATCTTTAAACTTCTTTAACACTTTGTCAAGGGTATGAATATTATGTAATTGGTATTGATATATTTTAAAGTTGCATTTAAATTTTAAGTTGACCTATAGTTACAGGACTTAGGACCATCATTTATTGCTAATTTGTTTAAACGCTTGAGGCACTGCAGAGTACTCATGCAGCACATACACAGATAACTCAGGGACCATGGAAAGGAAGAATAGGTTCATAAAAGATGACTTGAAAGGATTTGTGAAGCCACAGGTTTAAATTTGTTGGAAGCATTGCCTCTTGCTCATTTACACATTAGGAATAAGACTAACAGAGAATATAGGATTGATCTTATTTGTGATTTTGTTTGGAAGGTTTCCCTGTATTTTATAACCCTCACAGGCTGCAAAGCCTGACTGAAGAAATTGATTATGTGACTAAATATATTTTGTTCCTCGCTACCCCTTTTTA